AATTACATGCAAAACTTGGCACAGATCAAATGGGAATTGTGTCAGGAAGGCTGAAGCCTAGCATGAACAGAAAGTGAAAGTCAAAGTCGCTCAGTAATGTCTGATTCTTTGTGACCCCAAGGATTATTCAGTCAATGGAATTCTCCAGGCCAGAATACTGGAGTGGTAGCTGTTCCCTTCTCCGGGGGAATCTTCCCAACCCAGAGATTGAACCCAGGTCTCCCACATTGCAGGTGGATTCTTTACAAGCTGAGCCACCAGGAAAGCTCCCATAATCCACAAGTGATGCAAAACACAGTAAAGAAAAGTAAGATTTTTTTGTGATTTTATTTGGGGCAGGAACATGGAAGATGTAAATCTGTCAAGTAGAGACTATGGTGTGATGTTAGCAGATCAAAGAGAAAGTAGAACTGCTCAACTTCTATTTTGATTCTTTTCTTTAAAGAGAATGGGCATCTGGCTGTAAAGAGAAGCATAAATATTGAAAAAGCTGAAGCCCAGGTGGAAGAGATGATGTTGAACAAAATTCTCATTTTCTATCAAAAATGAGTTCATCTCTTCCTAAGAATCCAGTGTAGTTGAGTAGATGAAGAGTTGGGACACTGTAAATGCAAGATTCTCCTCTGCACAATTTAGGCTGCCAATGAAAACCTGTGCTCTCATTGCTCTCAGGGTTCAAGGCTCAAAGCTCTACACAGGTGTGTCCCAGGGATCTGCATAGATAATAGCAGGAAGGCAGAATCCAGTGGGGCTGGGATCAACGAGGCTTGTAGAGTGATTGTTAACTGGTACAAAATTTCTTTGGAGGTAATGGAGATGTTCTGGAATTAGTGGCGATAGTTTTCACAACCTTGTGAATATATTGAGTTGGCCAAAAAGTTTGTTTGGGTTTTTCTGGAAGAAGTTATGGAAAAACCCAAACAAACTTTTTTGGCCAACCCTATACTAAAAAACCCCCCTGAATTATATACTTTGAATGATGAATTTTATGGCATATACATTATATCTTAATTTCTTTTGAAGAATACATTATCACATTTTTACCAACCTCAGTACCAAGTTTCTTTTCTGTGTCCACCTATCCAAAATTTTAAAAAGCTAGTGACCAGCACACATCCCTGTCAGTTAAAGAACAAAACCAAAGTCTATTTTGAAAGTTCTTATTCTTTGTGACTGATGACAAAACATACAAACAAAACAGTTTGCTTTTTAGTTTTATGGAGGAAAGTAAAGGAATATAACCAAATCTAGCACATTTTTTAAGAAAGCATTTTGTGCTAATTTTTTTTAAGCAAAAATAAAGAGATAAAAAGATGGAATCACAATTGTGCAATATTACACAAAGTTGCCCATCACCAAAAAACTAGATGGGATAATAAATTGGCTAAAGTAGTGAGCCCAGTTCCCCAGTAACTCTCTAGGAACCAACTGCACACACAACTGTTGAAAGAGAGATAAGAAAGAGCTAGAATGGGAAAGTCTTAGTGACTTTAGCAGCAATAGCTTTAAAAGAAGCAGCAGAATGATGGAGCTGCTGTGCTCTGAATGCATCTGAGTTATGAAACCTAGAGTGCAGTCTAGTCTGGGGGAGGAAGGATAATGGTCCCACTCTAGTCTATGTGGATCAGAACATCTAGAGCAGCAGCCTGGAAGGGAGGAGAGTTTGGGAGAGAAGGGATACATGTATATGTACACCTGAGTCCTCTTTGCTGTTCACCTGAAACTACCACAGTATTGTTGATTGGTTATACCCCATTACAAAATAAAAAGTTTTGAAAAAATTTTTTCATTTCAAAAACAGAATATCTAAAGCACTGTATGCCATTCTGAGTGCCACTATCACAGAGGATCACGAACTAGAACTAGTGCGAACTAGAACCTGATAGAATACTAAAGGTCTGACACCATGACAGAAGTTAAACCACTAGAAGGACAGATACTATTTAGCTTAGGAAAGAAAGGGAAAAAGAGAAACCAAAAAGTTCTCTTTTTTTAAAAGTATCAGAAAGACTCAGTTTTTTTAATCTTCATGACTCTGATTAGCAACATCTCAGAAAAAGAAAAAAACTAAGTTTGCCAAACATTTGAGGTCTGAGTTGAACAACCTCAGATGAAATAGGTACATAACCAGAAGTCACAGTTAACTGATGTCACAAATAAACGTGAAGGAGCAAGAAAAATGGGGGCCTTCACTTAAAAATGGAAATAGAAGGAAAAAGACAGTCAATAAAGACATATGCTTGGTCATTCCTCAGGCATGTCCCAAAGGTCTGTGTTATTTAAATGTCTCCAAATGGTTAAAGACAATTTGTCCAATCCAAAAAGCCCATGAGACATTTGGTTCATAAGACAAGTTGTCTGTGCCAAAAGAACCCTGAAGCTTCAGTTCAGTTCAGTTCAGTTGCTCAGTCATCTCCAACTCTTTGGGACCCCACGGACTGGCAGCACACCAGCGCCACCCTGTCCATCACTAGCTCCCGGAGTTTACTCAAACTCAAGTCCACTGAGTCAGTGGATGCCATCCAACCATCTCATCCTCTGTCACCCCCTTCTCCTCCTGCCTTCAATCTTCCCCAGCATCAGGGTCTTTTTAAATGAGTCAGTTCTTCACATCAGATAGCCAAAGTATTGGAGTTTCAACTTAGCATCAATCCTTCCAAGGAATATTTAGGACTGATTTTCTTTAGGATGGACTAGTTGGATCTCCTTGAAGTCCAAGGGACTCTCAAAAGTCTTCTCCAACACCACAATTCAAAAGCATCAATTCTTCAGTGCTCAGCTTTCTTTATAGTCCAACTCTCATATCCATACATGACTACTAGAAAAACCATAGCCTTGACTAGACAGACCTTTGTTGGCAAAGTAATGTCTCTGCTTTTTAATAAGCTGTCTAGGTTGGTCATAACTTTTCTTCCAAGGAGTAAGCGTCTTTTAATTTCATGGCTGCAGTCACCATCTGCAGTGATTCTGGAGCCCAAAAAATAAAGTCTGCCACTGTTCCCACTATTTTCCTATCTATTTGCCATGAAGTGATGGGACCAGATGGATGCCATGATCTTAGTTTACTGAATGTTGAGCTTTAAGCCAACTTTTTCACTCTCCTCTTTCACTTTCATCAAGAAGCTCTTTAGTTCTTCTTCGCTTTCTACCATAAGGGTGGTGTCATCTGCATATCTGAGGTTATTGATATTTCTCCCAGAAATCTTGATACCAGCTTGTGCTTCATCCAGCCCAGTGTTTCTCATGATGTACTCTGCATATAAGTTAAATAAGGGTGACAATATACAGCCTTGACATACTCCTTTTCCTATTTGGAACCAGTCTGTTGTTCCATGTCCAGTTCTAACTGTTGCTTCCTGACCTGTATACAGGTTTCTCAAGAGGCAGGTCAGGTGGTCTGGTATTCCCATCTCTTTAAGAACTTTCCACAGTTTGTTGTGATCCACACAGAGGCTTGGTTCTATCCAAAACATCCATGAATATAGTTGGTCCATTACAAACAGTTTTGGACAGAACCAAATATCAAGGACCTTCTGGCATAGACCAAATATCTTATAAATGTTTTGGACAGAACCAAATGGTCCTACAAATATTAAAGACATTCGGGGGTAAATCAACATCTTATGAATGTTTTTAACAAGAGCAAATGTCCTTCAAGGACCCAAATAATTCTTAGTCAGCCAGAACAGGATTAGTTTTCCCACCTGATATTTGGAAACCACTCTTCTAGAGAGCACTATGATCATGTCACATATTGTTGGGAGCCGCCGGGACGAGAAAGGAACCTGCAAGGCAGCTCTTCCCCTCGAGGCTGTCCCGGGGGCCCGGTATGTCCCTTTCTTCCTTCTGTCTTACTGTTGTTGGGCTTTCTATTAATTTTTGGAAATAATAATATATAGTAATAAGGCCTCGCTGGAAAAATCCAAACCTTTTTGGAAATGCTCATGATTGCTCTGGCTCAGGACACGACTATAAACATCAAGTCATAAAAGAAAAGGCCACAGGTATAGTTTGGCTGCTTGTTTAAAAGATTATAATGTTCTAGAATAGAAAAGAGTAGAGGTGTTTAGATTTAGAAGTAGATATACTGCTTTAGTTTACTTGCTCCTTGGTTGAAAGGGTTTTCACTATTGCTATTTCCTTGCACCTATTTGTTCATTGTTTCCCTTTCTTTAAACAACATGGGATATTATGGGTATTTTTGTAAAATTAGAAAATGGGGTATATAAGATTTTAATAGAAGATTTATATTAACCAGCTTTACTGCCATTATTTTACTATTTTGCTGCTTTAAAGGTGTTTTTGCTGTTTAATAATTAATCATTGTAAATTGAGATTTTGTGGTTTCAGGTAAAGAAAAATAACAGGTTTTTCTCATGGTACTATTTTCAGAAATGTCAAACATGTTATTGTAACCCTTCCCATGTATTGTTTTATTGTCCAAAGAATTTACACTATACCTGAGATTTATGAAACATTGTTTTTGTTAGAGTGAGAATGTTAGGCCATTGAGGCAAGAAGATTATGTACGGGATATTTAAGTATAAATCCTGTCATTGGAAACGTTCTAGATGAATGCTTAGGGGAAAAACATGGGGAAAAAAATATTGATGGAAGCACAAACCAATATCTGATGTAATATGTGGTGACTTAAGAGGGAGGTAACATTCATTCTATAAAAACTGAGCTATCCTAAAAATAAAAAAAAAAAGCTACCTCTTCTACTCAACGTGTGTGTGTATCTGTGTGTCTGTCTTCTTCTCTTGCAGACACCGTTCATCCTGAGGGTTCCCCTGGATCCTGCTGGGGCTGGACCCCGGCAACATATGTCCTTAAAAATCCTGTCATTCCCTGTAACTGCCAAAGATAAAATTCAAACATTTTAACTTGACTTCTGAACTCTACCCAGGATGACCCAGTTCTACTTTTAAAATTTTATCTCCCATTCCTTCCCATCACTAGTCTTGCTCTCTAACCAAACTCTTATATCTATTACTCACCCAGAATACATCTCTATTTGCTTCCTCTGTACATCTGTTTATTCCATTCCCTCCACCTGGAACACTTGTTCTCTTTGCATCCAACCAGCCATCACCAAATCTGCTATTCATCCAACCCACCTTGAAGCAAAGGATCAAAAGCCTATTATGAGTTCTTTTTTGGATTATTCCATGCTAAAAGTATTCTATCATCAACATCCCTCTCAACTCTCGATCATTAAGTTACAACTTAGGTCTCAATTTCTTTATCTGTAAAACTATAACTACCAACTTCATAGGCTTTTTTGAAGATTGAATTTATAAATGTGAAGCACCTAGAACAGTGTAAGAATACATAAGCTCTATAATTTATGACTATTCTTATTAGTTGTATGATTTTTTTTAAAGAAGGAAGTTAGTATGACAAATCATAGTCTCTACCACTATAGTTGGTCCTGAAGCTATAACTGATACCACTCATTTATGATTCTCTGTAGTTAATTCTAGATTCCTCTCCCTTTGGCTAGCTACTGCTGGTTTAGGTTGCTTGCCTGCTGGGTAACATAGCCAGTAAAGGTATTCTGGCAGTTACCAATAGTGTATATTTCAATACATTCATGAAATGGGAAAACAACCACAGAGAGGGCCCATGAATCAACTGGAGCCATTGTGAGTCGGTTTCCATTTGTCATGTGACCACCATAAGCCCCCACGTTGACTACCAGGCCTTGCTAGCATTTTACTTCTCCAGAAATTAGGATTAGTGCAGAGCCAGTATCTAGTAAAACCCAGAGGTCTTTTCTCAATGCACGTTTACTCTAGCAAATAGACACCATCCCATTAGGGAAGTCTTGAGAAAAGATTTACAGTTTATACTTGTGTTAACAATACAAAGTCCTTCCCAAGGTGACGCAGCTGCCCTTCAATCAAGGAACTCTGAGTCTGTGAACTGGCTTAGGTCTGGAAAATGGGTGAATGGCCATGACTCCCCATTGTGGCAATTCAGATCAGGTTGCTGACCAGCAGATGTGGAGTTTGTGGTGGTGTTGCTTTCTGCTATATGAATGCAGCCAACATTCTAGAAGAATGCCCACCCCTTTCATTCACAGTTACACCACGATCACTTGGCTTCTGTGGGAGAACCCTGTGGACAAAAACATTCTGATTACCAGTCGCCCTCCTGCCCTTACCTGTAAAGTCTACTGAGTGACCTGGAGCTGGTTCACAGCAAACAGCCTGCTGGATTCCTGCAGCAACGTGTAGAGGAGTGAGTGCCAACGGGCCTCTGCCCACTGCTAAGTAGCCACACCAACAGGGAAAAAAGAAAGAAGAAAAGTGTGCCAAAACCAGAAAGAGAAGCTCCTCCCTCCCCTATGCTGTGCAGTATCCCTCCAGCACCCTCCATTGTCAAAGCCTAATATTGTACCAGATGAAAAGAAAAAATGATTGCCTAGTCCAGCTCCAAAATCACTAGGCCAGAAAAAAAGTGGATTTGGAGCTAAGAGATAATAAGCTGATAAGCAGCACATATGATCACTGCTCTGAGACTTTGACCCCTTGTTTGATACTACATGGAGGTAGTTCTGGCCTTTCTATCTCCTGCAATGTATGTCATCCCTCTTTCCAAGCTTCCAGGGGCCGTCCAGCACCGTGCTGAGACTGGCTTCAAGATCCCTTGCCAGAACATTAAATCTTGAACCACAGGCAAGTATATTCCTTGTAGCAAACTCTTGCCTTATCTAACTCTATAATCTGTACACTCCCAGGCCATCACTCTCAAAACCCAATCCCAGGTTAATATACCAGTACTAGCATTATTATGTGCTCAGCCTCTGGTTCAGGGAACAAAGATTCCATAAGCCACATGGCATAGTCAAAAAAAAATTAATTAAATACAATTTAAAAGAAAGATGTGGAACACACACAAAAATACATATACAATGGAGTGTTACTCAGGCATGAAAAAGAATGAACCAATGCCATTTGCAGCAACATAAATGGACCTAAAGATTATCAAGTTAGAGAAAGGCAAATATCATGCTATCACCCACATGTGGGATCTAATTTTTAAAAAATTATACAAATGAGCTTATTCATAAAACAGAGATACTTGCAGATATTGAAAATAAACTTATGGTTACCAAAGGAGAAACCATGGGAGAGGCATAAATCAGGAGCTTGTAATATACACACATTATGATATATAAGATAGATAACTAACTAGGACTGTATAGCACAGGGAACTCTACTCAGTATTCTGTGATAACCTATATGAGAAAAGAACCTATTAAAGAATGGATATATGTATATGCATAAAAAATCACTTTGCTGTATACCTGAAACTAATACAACATTGTAAATCAACTATACGCCTATAAATTTTTTTTTTAATTCACCTTTCAACCCTTCAATGATCTTCTAGACCAGCTTTCTACAAATAGTTGGCTCAGTTTTTCCAAATTCCCATAGTTACATGGAAGGAAATATTTCAAAATACTAAATTTTGTCATCTATAAATAGTAGAATATAGAATGATTTTGCTTTCTTTTTTACATTAGTCTGTTTTTTCCAAATTTTCTACAATGAATATGCACTACATCTATAATCAAAAAGGCCAAAACTGCTAGACTGGATCTTTTTTTTTAACCTCATCCCAATCTTCCATCACTAACACCTTCTCAATACCTCTACCTCAGCCCTTCCTGCTAAATAATCTTTGAAAAGATAAAGTATTGCTAGCATAATATAGCTAATCAATGAGGGCCAGTCACTATCAGCAATGGAGAGTTTTATTATGTTATATTTTATTTGCCCTGAGGAATCTGAAGGCCCTAAAAAGTCAAGTGCTATTTCTCCAGGGTGAAACTGGAACCCTGGAGGGAAGAATATCAATTTTGTGGGGCAGGAGAGGAAAAAAGGAGATCCACCCAGTATGACTCTCTAGATGGACCGTTGCACAAATCTCTGCAGAAAGTTAATAAAATAAAAATTGGTGCCCTCATGTGGACTTGGTACACAATCATAAATATGTACTTATATTGATCAATCAGCTATTGCAAGCATAAATAAGGAATAAAACAAACAAAATATCCACAGTCTGAACAATCATATGATAAGTAACAAATGAGTTTCAAAGAAATAAGTGTCAATACTGTATAGCACAGGGAACTCTGCTCAATGTTACCTGGCAGCCAGGATGCGAGGGGAGTTTGGGGGGAGAATGGATACATGTATGTGTATGGCTGAGTCCCTTTGCTGTCCACCTGAAACTATCACAACATTGTTCGTCGGCTATGCCCCAATATAAGATTAAAAGTTTCTAAAAAATAAAAAATAATTTTTAAAAAATGAGTGTTAAGGAAGACATCTGATTCTCTTTTCCTATGATCATCATCTTCCCTCTCATCCGGCTTTTATGTATTTTAGAAACCAAGCATTTTGCTAGCATATGTGTGTGTGTGTGTGTGTAACATACATATAAAAATGGGACACTTTTGAAATCACTGCTCTCCTGTTAAGTCATATCCAATCCTAGCCTGTGTCAATAGACTACAGTGAGCATCACCCTAGCCTACACGTCAGGTTTCAAATAATCACAATAAAGGATAAAACATTCCTCTGTCTTCTAGTAGGGCTGCAAATAATCCTCAAAATAATCATGTTGAGACTCACTAATTTATTTTTCACATTAATAAAAAAAAGCTTTGATGATTTTCTTCATTCTGATGTGACATATTCTTGGTTCCGAAAATCCTTTCTTGTGATTAACTTCTCTTTCTCCTGTGATCATGAAGCCCATTTCTCCTTGTTCTATTCTTCCTGTGGTGGAGAGTAACAGTTGCTTAGCCTTTTCCCCAGAACCACTTCATTGTTAGAGTCTACCATGAGATTACTTATCCATTCTTTAAACAAAGTTATCCATGTTTATGTGACCCCTCCTCAAACATTTCATTTTCCTATTCCAATCAAATTTATCGTTTCCCTTTTAATCTACTCCAAATTTTCTCTGTCCTCTAAACCAAATCAAATATGTGAACTTCTGGGTGATTTCTAAGCATCACACATTCCCTATTATAAATGAAGGAAATACAGAATTGTAAAGGGATTTCTTTGATGTCCTGGAACTTACGGCTATGCTGAAGCAGACTGTAAGAACTGTTTTTCTGGTTTTTTTTTTTTAGCACTGGACAAGTAGAACAAGGTATGCCGTTTGTGAAAGCCATTGATACTTGGTAAAATGGCGCCATCTAGTGCCTACATCTGCAAGAGAAAGGTAGGAAGAAAACTGGAAATCAATTACAGTGCAAAATGACAACTCCAGAAACTAGCAGGACCAAGGCAATTTAATAACAATAGGTCGATTAACTCCAGGGACCATAATTCTTAGTCTATTGACTGGGTCCCTGGAGCAGCTTAACAACTAATATAGCCTTTTTCCAGGGAGAAACACTGTTCTGAGTGTGCTAGAGAGGCTTACAAAGAGGAGCAAGAAACAAACTGCAACTACTTCATGCCTGGCATTGCTGTAAGCATTTGCACCCTTCCTTCCCCCCCCCCCCCATATAATCATGACATCATCTTATAATGCAAGTATTATCACCCCCATTTTACAGATGAAAAACTGAGGCCAAGAGAGGCCAAAATCTTACCTTAGGTTTCAAACCCACTTTCTCTCTTTTGCACTACCCCTAATGCATAGGAAAACATCTCAGCTCCCTTTCCTATGCATCATTCTCCACATGGAAGACCGGGGAGACACTGCCGCTCCAGTACTAGCACCAGGGAGTCCACACTGTGATGTACAACTCTGCTGAAAGATGCCAAAGGGGCAATCTGAAGACATGGAATGAAGAGGACAAACACCGGACTAGCAGAAGGACTGGGTAGCAAAAGCATTTCCTGTAGCCCAGTTTGAACATCATTTTTTTGTTGCTATTATTTTTGTCTGCCTTTAAATCAGTAGCTCCTAGCTGCCAGGGGCTATACTCTTAATATGTCATGCTAAGTTGCTTCAGTCATGTCTGACTCTTTGCAACCCCATGGGCTGTAGCCCACCAGGCTCCTCTGTCCATGGAATTTTTCCAGGCAAGAATACTGGAATGGGTTGCTATTCCCTTCTCCAAGGGATCTTCCCAACCCAGGGATAGAACCTGGGTCTTCCACACTGCAGGCAGATTTTTTACCATCTGAACCAAAGGGAAACCCAGAGTATTTTAAGATATTACATTTTCATTCATGTATGATACTACATTTTTAATTCAACCATTAGATCTACTTGGTAAATGAATCAATGAGGCCATTGGAAAAAAGTATATAAAACAGCAAGTATATTATCATTATAAAAAGAACAATGATGAGCTCCTGATATAACAAGGATAAAATATGTAAAAATAGAAATAAGACTTCCCTGGAAATAGAATGATTAGGACTTTGTGCTTCCACTGCAGGGGGCACATGTTCTATCCTGGTGAGGGAACTAAGACCCCACATACTTCAGCTAGCAACTAAAGATCCCACAGGCTGCACCTAAGACCCAGTACAGCCAAATAAAAATAAATATTTCTTAATGCAGTGAGTTCTTTAAATTTTATGGAAAGTTTTTGTTGATTTGTTATTTCCTCAAAGAAATATCATGAAGTATAGCTGCATCCAGGAAAATTTTCTTGAGAATTCTATTCTAATGATTCTATTCTATTCTAATTCTATTCTATTCTAATATAACCAAAAAAAAATTAAAGGAGTTTTATATTTCTTCTAGAATACATGCATACACACTCTCAATTTTGATGACCAGTAGGCCACTGTAAAATATTCTCAAATGAAAGAAAATCTTAGCCTGATACATATTCCAGCCTGTTTAAAAAAATAAACTAGTATTCTGTAAGGGAGTTAATTACATTGAGTATCTGAAGGCTTCCCAATGAGTCAATAACATCTTCCAATAGAATCCAAGCCGTTTCACTCCTAGGTTTGTCATAGAATCTCTATATAGCAAAAACTCACTTTAACTCTGTGGGCCTTCCCCTCATGTTACAGGGGGGTTAGAAAATAGACAGGGTCTAGAACCTGGAGCTGTGCATTTCAAGTGTGAAGGTGAGCTCATAGCTCTCATCAGTAGAACAGAATGTTTGAGAGGTTTCAAACAAATAATCACCTGTGCTTATCTATCCATTCTCTCTTCAAGTGGGTGTCTCTGTTAGAAAAAAAAAAAAATTCTCTCTCTTTCTGCCAGCCTTTCAAGATGCTGAAGGGGAAGAAGGTGGCCCTGGCTCCCTCTATGGTGAAGAAGCAGGAGGCCAAGAAGGTGGTCAACCCCCTTTTCGAGAAAAGATCCAAGAATTTTGGCACTGGACTGGACATCCAACCCAAAAGGGACCTCAACTGCTTCATCAAATGGCCCTGCTACATCCAGCTGCAGCGGCAAAGGGATATTCTCTATAAGCGGCTGAAAGTGCCTCCTGCAATTAACCAATTCACCCAGGCCTTGGACCAACAAACAGCTACTCAACTACTTAAGCTGGCCCACAAGTACAGTCCAGAGACGAAGCAAGAGAAGGAGCAGAGGTTGCTGGCCCGAGAGGAGAAAACTGCCGGCAAGCTGCCCGCCAAGAGGTCACCTGTCCTCCGAGCAGGGGTCAGCACTGTCACCACCCTGGTGGAGAGCAAGGATGCTCATCTGGTGGGAATTGCTCATGACAGGGGTCCCATCAAGCTCATGGCCTTCCTGCCCACACTGTGCCGAAAGATGCGGGTTCCCTACTGCATCATCAAGGGGAAGGCCCAGCTGGGGCGCCTGGTCCACAGGAAGACCTGCACCACTGCAGCCTTCACACAGGTCAACTCGGAAGACAAGAGTGCCCTGGCTAAGCTGGTGGAAGCCATCAGGACCAATTACAATGATAGATACGACAAGATCCGCCACCACTGAGGAGGCAATGTCCTGAGGCTGAAGTCAGTGGCTCTCATCGCCAAGCTGGAAAAGGCGAAGGCCAAAGAGCTGGCCACCAAACTGGGCTGAGTGTGCACCACTGAGTCTGTACATAAAAGTAATAAAAGATTCTTTAAAAAAAAATTCTCAAAACCCCTGCCTAAGCTTCTCTTGTTTAGCAATACAGCTTTGCCAATGAGCCTAAATTAGAATACAGATGGCTGATGTAGAAGGACAAAGGAAACCATGTGCAAAGACACAGGGGTATGAGAATGTGTTTCTTCAGGCAAAAGCAAATCATTCAAAAGAACTGCCACAAAGGGTGTGATCACTGAAAAGGTAGACAACGGACAGATTAGCATGAGTGCTAAGGAATTATACATTTTAGATTCTACTAGTGTTTCTCACATATAAGTAGCATAAAAGGAAAAATATTCTCACAGATCCTGTCTTGACTTAAATTCTCTTTAAATATCATGGCAGACACTGTTTATAATTCCCTTGTATTTGTTCTCACCATCTTTCTCTTAGTTAATAGAATTGTTCAAATTTTACCTCGAGCCTCCACTTCCCAGCCTCTCTTGCAACTGAGGGGTCAAATGACCACATTTCTGGCCAGTGAGAAGTACATGGAAAGAATGTCTACACCTTCTGGGTCATGTTCTCTTAAGGAAGCTACTTGCCCCTTTACTTCCTGTCTACTCCTTCCCACAGGCTGGAAATCCAAAGAAATGGTGACAAACCAGCTTCAGCTTTATGAATGAAGGCAATATTCCTGGACCTAACTGCTTACACGTGCTCTGTGTGACCAACAACGTCAGCATCACCTGGGTGTTTGTGGAAGTGCAGAATCAGCCCAAACCAGACCTATTGAGGTTGATGCTACAGTTAAATAAGATCTCCAGGGAATTCCCTGGTGGCTCAATGATTGGACTCTGTGCTCTCACTGCCAAGGGCCCAGGTTCAATCTCTGGTTGGGGAACTAAGAAACTTCAAGCCAAGCAGTGCAGTAAATACACACACACACACACACACACACACACACACACACATACATATTCCCAGGTGATTCATATTCACATTAAATTTTGAGAAGCACCAATCTAGGAGAAGGCAAGAGGAACAAACTAGTAGGAAAATGGGTCTCCAGATGACAATGCTACAGTACTGACAACTGACTAGCTCAGATGTGTATGAGAGAGTGGACTTTCTACATTTGCTTAAGCCACCTTTTTTTTTTAATCTCTGATCCTATATACAAACTATTAATATATACAAATGTAAAACATGGCATAAATACCCATCCATATTTTTTAATATAAATATATTTATGTATTCCTTTTAAAACCACACACCTTGGATGAAATGCGAAACTACACTCTTCCAACAGAAACCATAGAATTTGCCTCCAAACATATTGAAGCTCAGGTTCTTTATGCCTCAGTACAGAAGGAATTCAGCAAGAGGCAAAGTGATAGGCAAAAAGTACATTTATCAATATCGTTTGTAAAGAGGTTGCAGGAAAACGGGAGAGGATGGTCACATACTAGGTCTTGGGTGAGTTCCTGAGGGTCTTGGCTTCAGGCAGGAAAGGATTCAAGAGCAAGCCATATGTTCCACAGGCAGAATGCAGCCCATCTCAGGTGAGAGTTGCCTGGAAATATGGGATGGTTAGATTTTATAGGCTGGGTAATTTCATAAACTAATGACTGGGAGGGCTTCCCTGGTGGCTCAGTGGTAAAGAACCGACCTGCCAATGCAGCTGTTGTTGTTCAGTCGCTAAGTCTGACTCTTTGTGACTCCATGGACTGTAACACGCCAGGCTCCCCAATCCTTAACTAACTTCCGGAGTTTACTCAAATTCAGTGATGCTATCTAACCATCTCATCCTCTGCCCCCTTCTCCTTTTGCCTTTCCCAGCATCAGGATCTTTACCAATTAGTATTTCCAGGGTCTTTCCCAGGGTCTTTCCCAGCATCAGGGTCTTTTCAAATGAGTCAGTTCTTCGCATTAGATGGCCAAAGTGTTGGAACTTCAGCTTCAGCATCAATCCCTCCAATGAATATTCAGGGTTGACTTCCCTTATGATTGACTGATTTTATCTCTTTGCAGTCCAAGAGATTCTCAAGAGTCTTCTCCAACACCACAATTCAAAAGCATCAATTTTTCAGCACTCTGCCTTCTTCACGGTCTAACTCTCACAATCATACAAATTGTCAATGCAGGAGACAGGGTTTCAATCCCTGGGTTGGGAAGATCCCCCAAAGTAGGAAATGGCAACCCACTCCAGTTGTCTTGCCTGGGAAATCCCATGGAGATAGGAGACTGGCAAGCTACAGTCCATGGGGTCACAAAGAGTCAGATACAAACTTAGTGACTAAACAACAAATGAGCAGAAGGATTACTTCAACTGCTTGGGCAAAGGTGTGGGTATTTCTAGGAACTGGGACACCATCCACATTGTGGACTTTTATGGTCTGCCCCAAAACTGTCAGGTACCTGTGGGTATGTATTTAGTATATGCTCTTGTATTACAGAGCTATGGTTTTTCCAGTGGTCATGTATGGATGTGAGAGTTGGACTATAAAGAAAGCTGAGCACCAAAGAATTGATACTTTTGAACTGTGGTGTTGGAGAAGACTCTTGAGAGTCCCTTGGACTGCAAGGAGAGCCAACCAGTCAATCCTAAAGGAAATCAGTCCTAAATATTCATTGGAAGGACTGATGCTGAAGCTGAAGCTCCAGTACTTTGGCCACCTGATGCAAAGAACTGACTCACTAAAAAAGACCCTAATACTGGGAGAGATTGAAGGCAGAAGCAGGGAATGACAGAGGCAGAGATGATTGGATGGCAAAACTGACTCGATGGACATGAGTTTGAGTAAGCTCTGGGAGTTGGTGATGGACAGGGAAGCCTGGCATGCTGCAGTCCATGGGGTCACAAAGAGTCAGACATGACTAAGCAACTGAACTGAACTTGTATTACAATAAGTGTATAATGAGGCCCAAGGTATACAGGAAGTCAAATCATCCACTACCTTGGACTTAATTGGTTCTAACCAGTTTTTGTCGTATCCTCAATGGCTATGTTATTCTTTTAAAGGTTGTGCCCTGTCCCCTTCCCTCCTCACTTTGACTTTATTCAGTACCAACACCACTACTAAATCACATATGCAATACTGGTTTTAGCTGAGCTGATCACATGCTGGTCCAGAGCCATAAAACGTTTTTTTTAATTATAAATGAAATAAAAACTATAAACCCAATAAAAATCCAAATGAACAATTGTTTTAATATAATGAAATGGATGATGTTTTTCTGCTAGAACAAAGTCACTCTTCACAACATAGCAATGTACTGAGGCTTTCAGACAAATGCTCTTGAGTTTGGCAGGTTTGTACTACCACGTGTTTTGTAAGAACTCAGTTCTGTTAGAACTTGACTCTGTTTGAAATACTGTCAACAATTAATAGCACCAAAGGCCATGAACAATTAATAGCACCAAATGCCATGTCATTTGACTTTGCTTCGCTTAAGTGTATCACTTAATATATTAAGTTACCTCTTTTCACATTCACCCAGGACAATTCAAGAAGCACTACTTAACACCAGTAATTGTATAAATACAATTGCAAATACAGTTTATAAGACTCTCACTCAAACAAAGAGAAATAAAACTTATTTTTATACACAAAAAAAACTACAAAAAATGTCTATAGCAGCTTGATTTAATAGCCAAAAACTGGAAACAACCCAAATATGTTTCAACAGGCAAATGGATAAATGGATATATACTGCAGTACAGTATATAACACAGTGAAATACCTTTCAGTAACAAAAAAGATGTATTGATATGTATAACAACTTGAGTGGATCACAAATGCATTATTCTAAGTGAAAAAAATTTCAAAAGCTTATATGGGACTTCCCCAGTGGTACAATGGAGAGTAACCCACCTGCCAATGCAGCCGACACAGGTTCAATCTCTGGCCCGGGAAGACTCCCCATGCTGCAGAGTAAGCCCATGTGCCACAACTAGTGTGCCTGTGTGCCCTAGAGCCCATGAGCTGCACATACAAAGCCCAAATGCTGCAACTACTGAAGCCCATACATCTAGCATCTGTGCTCCATAGCAAGAGAAGCTACCGCAATGAGAAGCCCATGAATGGAAATGAAGAATAGCCCCCATTTGTCTCAACTAGAGAAAGTGCATAAGCACCAATGAAGACCCAGTGCAATCAAAAATAAATTTTAAAAAGAAAAAAATCTTATTAAAATAGTTTATATGTAGGATTCCATTTATATAACATTCTCAAAATGACAAAGTTATAAAGAACAAATCACTGTCGGGCATTAAGTTTTAAGGAGAGTATGACTAATTATAAAGGGGTGAAGTCACAGACTTTCTTTTATGCAATGAAATAATTTTGTCTCCTAAATATGTCAGTGTTTACACAAATCTACACATGTGATAATATTTTGTAGAATTAGGTCCATCTAGTCAAGGCTATAGTTTCTCCAGTAGTCATGTATGGATGTGAGAGTTGAACTATAAAGAAAGCTGAGCACCAAAGAATTGATGCTTTTGAACTGTGGTGTTGGAGAAGGCTCTTGAGAGTCCCTTGGACTGCAAGGAGATCCAACCAGTCCATCCTAAAGGAGATCAGTCCTGGGTGTTCACTGGAAGGACTGATGCTGAAGCTGAAACTCCAATACTTTGGCCACCTGATGCGGAGAGCTGACTCATTTGAAAAGACCCTGATGATGGGAAAGATTGAGGGCAGGAGGAGAAGGGGACGACCAAGGATGAGATGGTTGGATGGCATCACCAACACAATGGACATGGGTTTGGGTGGACTCCGGGAGTTGGTGATGGACAGGGAGGCCTGTGTGCTGCAGTTCATGGGGTCACAAAGAGTTGGACATGACTAAGCAACTGAGCTGAACTGATATACCTGAAAAAAAAAAGAGAGTGCATATAAAAACTGGTGAAATCTAAATAAAGTCTGCAATTGAGTTAATACCAATATCAGTTTCCTGGTTTGATAATGAATTGTAGTTTATGTAAAATGTTATCATTAGGGGAAGCTGAATATAGAGTATACGGGAACTCGTAACACTATTTTTGCCACTTCTCCTAAGTCTAAAAGTACTTCAAAATCAATATTTTTTATTGTAACCTAATAACATAAACCAATACAGAACATCTTTGAGCTTTTGCATTTTAGCTGATCCAGACATGACAGGTATCAAAGGAATAACCAGAAAAAGAAGAATTTAGAAAAGGAAAGAAAAATGCACCTTCAAAGAGAGCAAGGGAATCAGACTTTAGAAGGACTGGTTCATCAAATAAAAAACACAAGAAGGACTTAAAAATTCACAGGATTACCAAGGCTACGAAGTTTACATTATCCCTTCATGATAAGAAAGCAACAACTTACTCACAAGACAGCTATATTCACAATGCTCCTGACAATCTCCAGCCAACAACACACAACAAAAATTGGAGAAAAAACTATTTGGGGAGGAGTCTAGGATTGTAGGAAACATTCAATATTTTATTAGTTGGGAGATCAGACCAGTCAGGGTGACTCTGATTTATCTCAGGGTATAAAGTTTGTTGTTTCTTTTTTGTTTTTACTGTGGTAGGTGAAAAGTATAGACACACTGGAAGCAGAGCAGGTTTTGCTTTAGGGCAGATACCTGTGATCTGCCAAAAGCAGCTGCACTTCAACTCCTGGCATCTCAGTGACCAGAACAGACTATTTTCCTACACCACCTTCTGTGACCCCACTGGGCCTGAGACTGTGTCTACTGTTTCCCATAGAACATCTGCACTTGAAAGATGGGGTAAACAATGAAACATTACTGAGCCTTAAAAATGAATGAAAATTTCACATTTGACTAACATAAAAACAACCATGTTATAAAGTCATGTATCTCGAAAGGCTAGATTATGATTACATGAATGAAAATCAGTCAGTTCAGTTGTTCAGTCATGTCTGACTCTTTGCAATCCCATGGACTGCAGCATGCCAGGCTTCCCTGTCCATCACCAACTCCTGGAGCTTACTCAAACTCATGTCCATCGAGTCAGTGATGCCATCCAACCATTTCATCCTCTGTCATCCCCTTCTCCTCCTGCCTTCAATCTTTCCCAGCATCGGGGTCTTTTCTAATGAGTCAGTTTTTCCCATCAGGTGGCCAAAGTATTGGAGTTCAACTTCAGCATCAGTCCTCCCAATGAATACTCAGGACTGATTTCCTTTAGGATGGACTAGTTGGATCTCCTTGCAGTCCAAGGGACTTTCAAGAGTCTTCTCCAACACCACAGTCCAAAAGCATCAGTTCTTCGCCACTCAGTTTTCCTTATGATCCAACTCTCACAGCCATACATGACCACTTTAAAAACCATAGCTTTGACTAGACAGATCTTTGTTTGCAAAGTAATGTCTCTGCTTTTTAATATGCTGTCTAGGTTGGTCATAGCTTTCCTTCCAAGGAGCAAACGTCTTTTAATTTCATGGCTGCAGTCGCCATCTGCAGTGATTTTTGAGCCCAAAAAATAAAGTTTCTCACTGTTTTCATTGTTTCCCCATCTATTTGCCATGAAGTGATGGGACTGGATGCCATGATCCTCATTTTTAGAATGCT